TTTTCTATTTTTTGAGTTAAGTCAATAAATTCTGTGCTCTCTATTCTCATTTGTAGAGGGGTATTCGTGGTTAAAATTATGCCACACATTTTTGAAACACGCGATACAGTGTTTCATTTTTATTGTTAGGTACAAATATAAATACTTAATAGAATATTTAATTTTAAGACAAAAGTGTTTCGAAAAATGCTATGTAAGGGAGCTACACCCCCTAAAAAAGGTACGTTTTTTAAAGGGTTTTTCCTAATATTTCAGAATAGATAAAATTACAAAATTTGGTAACTTTATATGTACACCTAAATAAATGCCAAAGAACAAAATTTTTAATCAGGGGCGTCCTAAACGGTAAAACAAATTTAATTTTTAATTTTTATGCTGTTTATGGTCTGTAACATAAATTTTTAAAGCGATTTTTACTAAAAATACGTAAATTGTATCGGAAAATCACAAAAGACCCTTTTTTATGAAAAACTATGAAATTTTGTTGCTGAAAGTGGCAAGAAACCACAGGCAAAATACTTAGAATAAATTTTTACCCTAATCCCATCTAGTTTAGGAAGACCCTAATTAAAAATTTCAACATTTTATTTTTGTACTTGTTTAGGTGTATAAAAGTTATCATCTGTACCAAATGTTGAATTTTTTTTCTAAAATGATTTCGGAAATATTGAAAAAAACCTATTAAAAGACGCACCCCTTGCGTAGCATTTTTCGATACATGTTCATAGAAAACTTTTGTTTTAAAAATGAATATTCTATCTCCTGTTTAAATTTGTAACAATAAAAAGTATTAAAAATTTATTTTATTTTTTGTTACTTTTGTGAGTTAATTTGTATTTTTTTATGTTTAATTAGGGTCTCTTATCTTAATTTAAAATAAAAACGTGTACTTAGAGATTTTTTATTTTTAATCCGCCTTCTTTCATTTTCATGGACCAACAAGAAACCCTGGTTACGGCCCTGACCCTGTATAAAACGAATTTAATTTGATTTGAAGACAATATGCACAAATATGCAACATTTCCTAAAATATGCACGAAGCTGCCAAAATATGCATTTTTTATTTGACGTATTTTAATCAAAAAACATTATATATGCATAGAAAACTTACAATTTTGTTGATATACCTCTTAATAACAAATATGCATTTTGCATATAATCCGAGCCTTAGTCATCAGTGTTTAATGGATTAATATTCGACGCAAAAGTAACAACAATTCCTAAAAGATTGCATAACAGGTCGTTGCAAGTGAACACTCATTTATAAATTATAGAAGGCGAGTCGATAGTTACGTTTAGGCCTGGGGGCTATACCTAGTCCGTAGTAGACCACGCCATGACTTATTATTCAGATAAACTAACAGAGAAAGTGATCAAGAAGTTTGCAAAAATGTTTTATTTATTACAGATTGTGAGAAAGTTGCGATTTTTGGAAAAATCTACCTGCATGGCATATTTTGAAACTAGATTGTTTATGTAATCGCCACAACCAGTTCCAAATCCATTAAATGCATTCTGAAACTAGTTATGTCTTAATTTAAGCCAATATTGAAAGGTGGTCATTTTTGTCGTGCTTGAACTTTTTATTAAGTGTGTTAAAAAAGTTAAAGTTTACAGGAAATGGAAGCTGGGAGATAAAGCCATTACCATGAGAATATCATCACAAACACGCTATATCCTGTCATCGGAACATTACAAGCCGGCCAACATTTGAATACAATGAAATATTTTTTCAAAATACCGCGCTTTCTAATTGATGACATTCTTTGAAAAATTTTTGCATTTTCTTGTAGAAATTGTTATATTAACGGTTTTATTAAATAGTGACCCTGTTTTAAGTGTTCTAAATATGCACACAATGCTCGTACACAAGTTGAAATAGCGGCAGACTCGACAAATAAAAGCATCACATCAAATAAACAGTAAGGATCGGACGTGATGTAGGTGAGTTGTAGAAAAAAACACCTATTATGTACACACCTTGCATTTGAAACATACAAACTAATCATTCTGGAAAAACAAAACTTTTATTCAAAAGAAACATTTTCTATTTTCTTTAAAAGTCTGGGAAAAATGGATCTCATTTTGGAAAATCTAAGGATTTACACCAGTAGTCATAAAAATGAAAAGTTATTTATTTCGAGTATGTGTAATGAAACAGAATACTGACATGTGTAGGTTACCAACTGTTCCCTGCTTTCCAACTATAATATAAATAAATAAATTTAATATTGTCTATTGACACGAGTAAAATTGTAACTTTCTTCTATTCTTTTTTCACTGAAAACCATCTACAAGGGCACCCCTGAGAAAAATTTTAAGTGAGTTAAGCTGTAAAAAATGTTTAAAAAATTCTATCTGTCAAAAAATTTTGACAATTATTTTTTGACATTTGACATTTTTTATGTTTATTTAATGAAACTGATGATCTTGTATATGTTTTTTTACAATTATTTAGTAAAAGGTACAAAAATTTTGCCAATAAAAGCCACAAAAAACATTAGAAAGAGTTACAATTTAGGATACAGCTTCCTCATTTCCTCTCATCTCCTCTAATAGTCTCTAGCAACAAAACTTGAAAAATTATTTTTCCTACAGAAATAAATAGAGTCAAAGTGCAAAACTTAAACTCTCATAACTTCGAAATTTTTATAGATAATTTTTCTTTAAAATTTATTTCATTTTTCTCTGGGGCACGAATTCTGGCGCACCTGTATTTAAATTTTTTCCTAAAATTGGCCTGAAAATTTCCACTTGATTGAATTTTTGAGCAATAAGTCAGCTTGCCAAAAGTGTTTAATGTTTAATTACTCCATTTGGAAAAATAAATCGGAAGAAAATAGTTAAACTTTCTACACCTAGTTGTCAATTACCGTCGTCATGCTGTTTAACATTTTTTAAAGAAATCTAATGTTCTTTCCATATGCATGCATGTTGTAAGAAACGCAAAGCTGAAAAACGAAAAAGCATTCGCCTGTAAACGCAGGTTTAGTAATGATAATGAAGCATGCGAGGAAAAGCTGCACATTTTTTACTGTTCTAAGGGGATTAAAAAAAAATAGAATGCAGAATATATTAACATTTCGTTGGGACAAGAATTAAAAGCTGAACCATGAAATGAACGAAAGTAAAACCGTTAGTTTTTGTAATTTACATAAAACAATAGATTGCGATTTTAACTATAGTTTTAACTTTCAGTTTCACCGAATATATTAATTTCACACTAATAGTTTCTAAAACGAAATTTGCACATAACACTTCTCAGAATAGGTCTTGATCTCATATTTAATTGCATTTCGTATTTATAAAGACGGAATATTGTCCTTCATGTAACAAAACGTCTTATAAAAAGAGTGAACTACAGTATTTTTTCTACTTTGCTCTATTTTATGAAAATTTCTACTTGAAATTTTTTTTTGTTTGCAATTTTTGGGTTGGTGTTTTCTATTGTTTGATTTTGGTGAATATTCAAGGTTCTTGGCCAAAAAACTGCCAATATGACAAAAAAAAGTTTTCAAAAACTGTATTTTAACAGCCTCCATTAAAGCACTGTTTTTGGTGTTTTAATAATCATTAAAAACACTTTATTTGTGAAAATTTCAATATCGGACAAAATGATACCAGGAACATGGAAAAAAATTCTTTCTATAAAAATTTCGAAGTTATGAGAGTTTAAGTTTTGCACTTTGACTATTTATTTCTGTTGGAAAAATTATTTTCCAAGTTTTTTTGCTACAGGCTTTTAGAAGAGGAAACAAAGAAGCTGTATCCTCAATTGTAATTCTGTTTAATGTTATTTCTGGCTTTTATGGGCAAAATTTTTGTACCTTTACCAAATAATTATAAAAAAACATATACAACATCATCAATAATGAAATAATTGACTTCAACGACTTTTCAAAAAATTGTTATTATTATTTTTTATCTGTTTTTCTACATGCTAACTTGATAAATAAATGTCAAAATTTTGAATTTTGAATTTTTTACATGTTCCTAGTAACTTACCTCGAATTTTCTTGAATTTTTCTCTGGGGCGCGAGTTCTGACACACCCTGTAGTTTTCAGCAAATGCGACCAAACGTCTTATAAAACGAGTGTAATAGAGTATTTTTTCTACTTTGCTCTATTAGTTTTATGAAAATTTCTAGTGGAACAAAATTTCATTTCACCTGTTTGTTTTTCTCTAATGTTTGGGTTGGTGTTTCTGTTCTTATTTCAATTTTGGTGGATATTCAAGGTCCCCTAGTAAAAATTGCGTGATATTGCCAATATGACAAAAAAAGTTCTTAAAGCACTGTTTTCAGTGATTTAATAAAAACTTTATTTATAAAAATTGTAGCAGCAGAAATTTATACAATTTTTTCTACTTCAGAGAGACAATAAACATTTAACAATAAGCGAAACATCGCACAGCTTTGCCAACTTCCTGTTAGCGTTCTATTAACTGCGGACGTGATAAATGATATAACTGTAGGTCATCAAATTTTAGTGCAAAATAAATTGATTTATAGAAAATTGCGTTGTGCAAGATTAACAAAGTTTCTGTTTTGCTAAACATTTAGCACCCAACTTGTGCATTATAATTAATAAAGTCCTTGTTGCATGTGAAATGCCTCAAACAAACGTTCTCTCTACCTTCAATCGATGAGAACATTTGCTATAAAATAGAATAACATGTTGGATTTTCTTCGATCCTGAATAGGCAAAACACAATAATTTTAATTGTAGAAAGTATTAAATTATACTTCATACACGCCCAATGTCGAATATTCCGTTACAAAATTAGTAATTAAGTAAGTAAAATTATCAGTTTGCACAAGCCGAAATTTCTCTATTTTTTGTGACCCTAGAAATTATGAATTCTTGTCACGACTCACCTACTGCTACTTTAAAACAGCACAATGCATTTTTATTACTTTGCTGTCGCAGTTTATGGTTGAAAATTTAAAAAAATAATAATAAGTATTCAAACCGGAAATGTTGTTAAAAATAAAACTCACCCAATTGTTATCCTTAAAAACCGACATTCCGTGTTTTAATTGCTTCACCATAGATAAACCATTATAATCCTCACAAAATTTGCACAAACTTTCTCACTTTTGAAAAAAAAAAAATCAGGCAAGGCCAACTTGTTCCTCGGATTTGCACCAAAACAAAATCGTAACGTCCATGCCTACTACCGCACAAAATTAATCAGAGCAGAATAATAATTGCGCTTATATGGCCGATTTCTCGAATTGCGCTCAATTTAGTTTAATCAAAAGTGGCCGTTAGTGACCCTTGCCTTGTCAATTAACCTAGGTTCAAAATTTACGTTTTGCGCATTGTTAACAACAAACTGACACTGACAGTGTTGCTGTTCCGTCGATTTGTAACTACCTGCCGCGAAATGCCGACTTTCTAATTGGTAGGAGCGCACACGTGGTACTCGCCAGTTTAAATCTCCCGCGTTCCAGGGTGTTTCGCGGAAATCTAGTGACTTTCGGCGTGTCACCCTGACGCAATCGCAAACAACTTCACGCAGTTTCCCGGTTTGGACTGGAGTGTTTGGACGTATTATTTTATTTAATTTAAATTAATACAGCCCGAAATGACTCAACAAACGTAAGTTTCGCTTTTCTCCACCCTTGACGAGTTTGAAATCGAATTTTGAGCCTCTTGAATTTCGTTTGTGTCAATTTTAACGCATTTTTCGCAACAACGGCCATGTTGTGTGATTGTGTATAATCGATTCTAGAACATTCGAAAAACTACGGCTTTATTATTCAGATTTTGAACGGCGTGTTAATCACTCTTAATGTATTTGCATAAAACCACGTTTTTGATTAAACAAGTAACCATTTCGTGTTTTAAAATGGCGTCTCTAACCTCACTTTTAGGTTACCTCCCCCAGTGATGTGGGCCCAAAGAACCGGCGTAGTTTTTTTAACGATAAATTTAGAGGACTGTAAAGACCCCGAGGTTAAGTAAGAACACCGAACAATTGGCGTGATCACTAGTTCAATTGGTGTGTTTTGTTGTAGATTCACTAAAGACTCTGTATATTTCAAAGGCATCGGCGGTGTTGAGAAGAAAAATTACGAAGTAACAATCCCACTATACAAAGAAATAGACCCAGACAAGAGCAAAAGCTTTAATCGGGGCCGGTGTATTGAAATAATCTTAGTTAAAGCAAGTTCAGATGATTCGTATTGGCCAGCATTGACTTCTGACAAAAAGAAACACCATTGGTTGAAATGCGACTTCAACAAGTGGCAAGATGAGGATGATTCTGGTGACGAGGGAGTTGGGGGAATGGGAGGCATGGGCGGTGGCGATTTTGAGGAAATGATGAGACAAATGGGGGGCCTAGGGGCCGGTGGAGACAAACCTTCTTTTGATGATCTGGAAGATGGTGACGGTGCTGACTCAGACGATGAACCTATTCCCGACCTTGAATAAGCACTCGATTACTAAAAACTTCTTTCCTTTTGTATCTTTTCATTTGTTAAGTTAACAATAAAGTGTTTAGTGGTATCTCTGGATTTTATTTCTTTGGTCAGTGTTCAAATGTGAATAAAACGTTTTAAGTACCAAGTTGTTTAATTTAATAAATTAAATGTGTATATAAATGTAAATAAATTAAACCCCTTTACTTTCCTGTTGTTCGAATTTTGGATACTTGGCCTCGACATCGGCCCACGATTTTTTACTGTAGGACAAATCGTGTAAAACTGTCGCAATTTCGTCAAGCTACAAAAATTCAATTCACGAGTGTTTCAATACAATAAATTAACGTACCGGAATTCTGACTTGTGTCATAGAATCTCGCTCTCTCAAGGTCACACTATGGGGTTCTTTCAACGTATCAAAATCAATTGTGATACCATATGGAATAGCGATTTCATCAGTTCTGGCATATCTTCGTCCTATAGAACCAGAACTGTCGTCTATTTTGTGCGAAACATCGACTTTTGTTAAGGCAGTAGCTGAAAACATTTGTTAAAAATAATGAGATAACAAAGAATACTAGATGTGCCTTAGAGTGAAAGCTAGATATTGGGTCTTCTCTAATAGAGAAAAGAGACAGACATACTGAATCAGCTGATGTATGGCAGAAACAGTTTTTGGTGTTTTTGTTTTGTAATTTAAGTTATACAGGATGTGTCAGAACTCGCGACCCAGAGAAAAGGTAAGATATCAGGAACATGGAAAAAAATTTATCTATAAAAATTTCGAAGTTATGAGAGTTTAAATTTTGCACTCTATTTATTTCTGTTGGAAGAATATTTTTCCAAGTTTTTTTGCTATAGGTTATTAGAAGAGGAAACAAGAAAGCTGCATCCTAAATTGTAACTCTGTTCAATGTTATTTGTGGTATCAAATTTTTTGTACTTTTACTAAATAATTGTAAAAAAAACATATACAAGATCATCAGTATCATTAAATAGATATAAAAAAATGTCAATGTCAAAATTTTTTGACAGATAGAATTTTTGAACATTTTTTCCATGTTCCTGGTATCTTACCTTACTTGAAAATTTTCTTTGAGGCGCGAGTTCTGGCGCACTCTGTATGTTTTTTTATAATTATTTAGTAAAGGTACAAAAATTTTACCAATAAAAGCCACAAGTAACATTAAATATAATTACAATTTAGGATACAGCTTCCTTGTTTCCATTTCTAATAGCCTGTAGCAAAAAAACTTGGAAAATTATTTTTACAACAGAAATAGTCAAAGTGCAAAATTTAAACTCTCATTTTTTATATTTTTTTCCATGTTCCTGGTATCTTAGATGAGATTTTTCTCTGGGGCGCGAGTTTTGGCGCATCCTATATAATCATTTTGATTTATTTAGATTCTATTTGCCACAATAAAAAATATCAAAATATCGTACTACTGCAAAAGACAGTTGGGGAGACTCCCCACTTGCAACAGAATTTTTAAAAAATATTACAGAAATGTTTATATACAGGGTGTTCCGTTTTTATTGTTACAAACTTAAACAGGTGATAGAATATTCAATTTTAAGACAAAAGTTTCCTATGAACATGTATCAAAAAATGTTATGTAAGCGAGCTACACCCCCTGAAAATAATGCGTTTTTTAATGGGTTTTCCACTATTGCAGAATAGATAAAATTACAAAAGTTGGAATAGCTGATTACTTTTAAACATCTGAATGAATTTTTAATTTTTAATCACGGGTTTCTTAAACGGTGATACAAATTTAATTTTTATCCTCTTTATGATCTGTAAGACAAATTGTAAACTGATTTTAGGCAAAAACGCAAGAGACCTCTTTTTTGTGAAAAACTATGAAATTTAGAATTTTGTGGCTGAAAGGGGCAAAAACCAACCGCCAAAATAGTTACGGTACTTTTTACCCTAAACGCCCCAGTTTAGGACGCCCCTGACTAAAAATTGAATTCATTTCGGTGTATAAAGGTTATCAGTTGTACCAAATTTTGTATTTTTATCCACGATGGTTTCTGAAATATTAGAAAAAATCCATTAAAAGATGCACCCCTTTCAGGGGATGTGACTCCCTTATATAAAATTTTTCGATATATGTTTATAGGAAACTTTTATCTTAAAATTGAATATTCTATCGCCTGGTTAAATTTGTAACAATAAAAATAGAACACCCTGTATCAAATGTTAATTTAGACTTTTTAAAATTTCGGGCTGCAAAAGAGAGTTCGGAAGAGTAAAGAAATGTCCAAAATAACGGTTCAAAAAACTCAACTGCAACAAAACTCATATGTAAAAAAAAATGGTACTGAATTAAAAAAAAATTAAAAAATATCTTTTCTATTTTAGACAGTTCAAATGAGGTAATGGTTAAATAGGCGATCGTTAAAGAAACACGTGTTTCCAATTGCGTGTTTTTGTTTATAATTTTTTTTAAATAAAAAAAATACAATTTTATAATAAAAAGAGTTACCTAATAAACTAATTTGTTAAGCGATAGCGAGAGAATGTCTTTAATATTTGAGATTATTGATCACCCATTAACAAATAAGTTTATAATAATAATTTTTTCGTTATTCTGGCCGTAAAATCAATAAAATCAAATTAATGCCAAATCACAAATGAAAACGAATTTAATTTTTTCATCGCACCATCTTTGACTTTAATTCTTTGACAGCTGTCACTAAGATTTATTGTAAATTAAAAAAAATCGGTGGAAATTTGGTCATTAAGGCGCATTTTTTAAGACTCAAAAGCCCCATAAAGCAGGAATTAAATTTTTAAACGTCAAAGTCACAAAATAGACGTCCATAACCGAATCCTTTTTTAGACAAAATCATTCATTAATATTAACTGTCAATAAAAAAATATATTAGTGTACCTTCCTACATCATAAGTTATGAAAATCAAGCAAAAGTTGTCCAAATAAAGGAACACCTTAGACTTTCTTGCCATACCTCACGTGACTATAATATCTCTATCTTTGTTAAGCAACAGCAATTCCTATGTTTGCTTTCTTTCTCTAACACACAATGGCGCCATCAAGTTGTTTAAAAACGCTATTATTACATGAAAAGACTTACATAGTTGTTTGACAAACGGCGCAAATTCCACATTAGAACTTAGGGGAAGTACACTACACTTTAACGGTGATATTGAAGCCGGCAGTGAAAGATAAGTTCTTTGTTCGTCATTCTCACGCATTTTGAAATTGTGTTCGAAAATTGTATACATTATTCGTCCCACACCTGTTATCATCAAACCGTAAAAAACTGTCTTTTCATGACAAATTCTTACCGAAAGACGGTTCAATAACACTCGGAATGATTTCTTCGACATGAAGCGTCTTTTGGTAGCGTTTCACCGTGAGCATTTCTTTCGTCAGAGTGAATTTTTTCTCCTCAACTGTCAGTTCGTGTGATCTGAAAACAAAATTAAGCAAAATGGTAACAATCAACTATTTCAAACAATACTCATTACTATGGCTCGGATTATAAGCAAAATGCATATTTGTTATTAAGAGGTATATCAACAAAATTGTAAGTTTTCTATGCATGTCTAATGTTTTTTGATTTAAATAAGCCAATTAAAAATGCATATTTTGGCAACTTCGGGCATATTTTAGGAAATAATGCATATTTTCTTCAAATCAAAAATTTCCGATTAAAAATTTCAGGTCAAGTTAAAAATTGGTCAGTTTAAGAAAAAAAAAACAGTAATTCGTGTTTCATCTTTAAATTCATTTTATACAGGGTGAATATGAAGTTTAGAACCAAACGGTTTTTTTTAATTATTTGCCTCTGGAAAATAATAATTAATATCAAATAAAATAATAAAATATATCTGATCGTATTTTCAAAACGAAATTTTGTTTTGCTTTGAGTTTTGCGATTCTTTTTTTTTCAAAATTGTAATTTATGTATTTTTTTTAATTAATAAAAAGTAGATAGTCTCTAACACAGTTGATTTTGGGAGAGCATACAAAACATTTTTTGTAGTGGGTTGCCATTTAAAAAAAATAAAATTTTTGTAGAACTCAAAAACAGAAACAAAAAATTCGAAAAATTTTATTCTTGATAAAACATTTAATTCATCAATTAGTTTTTTAAAAAATAAATAGTTTAAGCAAAAAATGTTTGGTTCCATTCTTTTTATTCACCTGGTATAAAACGAATAAATCCTTCTATGTGGATAAGTAGTTGCCTGCAAATGAATTTTAGCAAAATTGTTTAAAGTGTTTAATAGTAACTTTATTTTGACGGTAACATGTCATCTGAAAAGTACAGATTTCTTAGAAAGGCTTAATTACTGGGTTATTAAAATGGCTTGTCTGAAGCAAAACCAATTTATTTATTCTCTTTCGTTCATCGTGTGCGGTTCAAGATGATGAAAATACAGAGTGGTTATAAATGATTTTCATCTAGCCAGCTGTGAATTTTCCATGTAAAATAAAAAATGCCGCTTTATTAAAATAGGGGTACCTACTTGTTGTAAGTCAAAATTAAAAAATCGCCGTTTACTAAGCGTCTACTTCAATTATAAACTTGTTTTCTTCTAAAGTATACATTATTATCAATTATTATTGGAAATTAGTTGAAACAATAAAAATTTAATTAACAACAATTTATTATTAATTAATAAGTGACACTAATGACAGATTTAGAGCTTTCAAAAAAGTAGAGCGGCACAAATAAAGTTACATGCAAAAAAATTCCAAAGCTGGCTAGATGAAAATCATTTATAACCACTCTGTACAAACTTTAGTGTACTCGAGGATAAAAATTTATTCCAACTTTGATTTTTTATTGTTAAAAGTTTTGCATATCGATGCATCTTTGGCATATATTCGAGCATATTTCTTAATATTTTGTGCATATTTTTGTGAAAATACGTGTTTATACAGTATGATGAAAAAAAGGCGCCCGTGTAAACCCACACGTTATAAGTGATCTTTTATTAAAGATGAATTCGAAGACCAAAATTGGATTTGTGCTCTTATCAGTAAGATATAGACTTTCATTTTTAGAAAAGAGAAATCTATACAGGGTGCGCCAGAACTCGCGCCCCAGAGAAAAATGCCATATAAGGTAAGATACTAGGAACATGGAAAAAATGTTAAAAAAAAATATCTATAAAAATTTCGAAGTTATGAGGGTTTAAAGTTTACACTTTGACTCTATTTATTTCTGCTGGAAAAATAATTTTCCAAGGTTTTTTGCTATAGGCTATTAAAAGAGGAAACAAGGAAGCTGTATCCTAAATTGTAACTCTGTTCTATGTTATTTGTGGCTTTTATTGGCAAAATTTTTGTCCCTTTAGTAAATAATTGTAAAAAAACATTTACAAGATCATCAGTATCCTTAAATAGATATAAAAAAAATGTCAAATGTCAAAAAATAAATGTCAAAATTTTTTGACAGATAGAATTTTTTAAACATTTTTTTCATGTTTCTGGTATCTTACCTTACTTGAAAATTTTCTCTGGGGCGCGAGTTCTGGCGCACCCTGTATAATTAACAGTTTTAAAATAATTTCATTGTTAAAGTCTAGATTTTGATACAGTTGACGGTGTTCTTAAAAAAATGTGTAAAAAGTCTATTGAAATAAAATTTATTGAAGATGTTAGGATACCATTTCTTGGCTCCAAAGAAAATTTATCAATGATGCAACATTGCAAATATCCTAGGATACAGAAAATGTCCATGTAATATTCAATTATCAATGTTGTTTGTTTTGTGAAATTTGAACGATTAAAGTCAAAAAGTCAAAGATTAAAAAAAATAATTGAAATCGTATTGGTCGTATCGTATTGGAATAAAAAAATTATGTAAAATTTACAGTTTTTTATTTTATTCGGGTGACAATATCTGTCAGTACTGATTTCCTAGATACGAAAAATACCTGAGTGAAATAGTTTTTTAGTAAAAAAAAAAAATTGTGCAATATTGCCGCTTTGAGCTGTTAGACAAACTGTTTAAATTAAAAAAAAAATCTATTTAGACTATTTTTGGAATGATGGTCACAATGTTTCAATAAAAAAGGACGCGCCTGTTTCAATCGTGGGCGCCTTTTTTTGCATCACCCTGTATACCCGGAACCTTGTTATTTTGAATAGAAAGGTACAGTGTTTTTTTTTGGTTTTCCTTTTTTGTGAAATGTATTTCACTATTTCTCAAAACTATTTTCCACCTACGTCGCTTTGACATACATGGGTCATTTAAGCTGAATCATCCTGTATATCAAATGAAATAGTTTTGAGTAATAGTGAAATACATTTGACAAAAGAGGAAGACCAAAAGAAAAACACTGTATGTTTTTTTGCGTTTTTGAATTCTCCCAATTATTCTATAAAGTTCTTCTATAGACTATAGACTTTCCCTAAACCTAAGTTGAACCGTTTTTGAGAATTTTAGAATTTTTTGAAATTTTTTGGATCCAAATATTCCTATTTAAAAATTACACTGGCCGCCAAAATTAACCGGACAACTAAAATTTTGCGATTTTTTACAAGGCAATATTTTTGTTCTTCTTTGTCGGATTTTGATGAATTTTGGTTCGGCTTAAAGAACGAACTTTGCAGAATATTGTAATTTGATTTAATAACATTTTTAGTTTGTCTTGTAAATGTTGTACCTAAAAGACGAGAGCACTGTTTTTTTACTTTTTTTTTATATTGAGCTCAAGATAAAATTAAGTTTTTACTTATTTCAGATTATTGCCCGTTATTTTATGAATGAGGAACAATTTGTTTCAAAATTTTATCTTCTGGTGCTCCAGAGATACAAAGCATTGAAAAAGACGTTGCTTTTTTAATGTTACTAAATATTCGTTCAGAAAGTAGGCTACATAAAAAGGTAATTAAACCGAAAATGATTGCTTATGTCACCAAAAGAGCACAATTACGTCTTTGAACACAAAAAATCTGAAAAACTTGGAACTTTAAAGGATTATAACAAGTAAAAGGTTAATTATTGGAAACTTCCAGGCGCCTATTTTGACGTTTTAAGACATTTTGCCTACTTAATACGAATATTCATTGAAATTGGAAATGTAATGCTTTTTTTGAAAGTTCATATCTCTCTTGTCTCAAGAATTAAAGTTATGAGAAATGTGGTAGATAATTCAGAAAGGAATCGGCAATAATCTGAAATCAGTATAAGAAAAAAGTAAAAAAACAGTCTTCTCGTCTTTTAGGTATAATATTTACAAGACAAAACTAAAAATGTTATTGAATTAAATTACAATATTCTGCGTTCTTTAAGCCGATCCAAAATTCATCAAAATCCGACAAAAAATAGCAATGTAAAAATCGCCGGCCAATGTAATTTTTGAATAGCAATGTTTGAATCCAAAAAATTTCAAAAAAGCCTAAAAATCTCAAAAACACATATTGAAGAAAAATGTTTGATGTTACCCATAACTCAATTTATCTAAATAAAACGCCCCAATTTTTTCTTCAGAAGATGGAGGAGAATTTAATTGAGTTTCAATCTGTATTAATTAACATTTTCTAATCTATGTTTAATAATTTTCAAGTTTTAGTTATTTTTTTTGATATTGCGGAAAAGTCATTAGTCATACATCAGTTTAGAATAGATTGCTTTAGAAATAAGAAAAAAATAATTATAATTGGGAATCGAAATTATTCAAATTTAGATTAAGTGAATTTAGTTTGTATTTACAAAGAGTGAAAAATATTTTTCACTTTTTGCAGTATAATAATGCAAGAAATTTCTGCAAAAAATAACTATCTACAGGGTGTTAAAAAAGATTGTTGATTCAGGAGGTAGTATAGTATGAACCAAAACAAACAAAAAAATTTTAATAAACATGATGGGTCTGCAAAGTAATGGTTTTAAGGATACCGAAAATTTTTCATTTTTTGAAACATTGTCCATACAAAAAAGAGAAGCTTCTAAAAAGTTTTACAAATTATCACATTCGTTACTTTGTGGACCCATATATTCATTGAGACTTTTTTGTTTATGTTGGTCCATACTCCTTATTATATCTTACTAAAGCGTGATAGCTCCATCGCATCACACCCATGTAAAACGTTCAATTAACCATCTCTCTCGAACAATGCGGGGAAAGGGGAACGGTGCAATTTTATTAGACACTATAGCAAAATATATCAAACTTAAGACAATAAATGATGATGAAAAATGAAAATTCAATTCATCCTTTACTGCAACGGACGGGTGATTTTCGTTAATTCACCTTATTTCGGCTAAAAATCCATAAAAATGAAAATTAAACAAAAAAAATGCACCAAGAGTGCGTTGAATTTCAATCAATCTGACACTTATGTCAGTTGTTGTCATTTCGCGTCAATGTGATGGTTCACACTCTTTAAGAAAATCAAACGAAAACCTCGGTAATACGGTGATAAACGTTGTGTGTGATTTGAAAAAGGCAAAAGGGTGACGTAATTAGTATTTGTGCAAAGACCGGTGTTGTATTTTTGTAAAGTGCGAGTTCGAGTTGGTGCAACACACCAGAGGTGCGAATGCTCAAAAGGACGAATGGTCAGAGGTCCGAATGTAGGCATTGATCAGCCTGCTTAAAATTGAATTGCAAGCACTTGGAAAACAGTTTCTGGCCGTGTGATACAAAAACTTTTTCGGCCGACAACATTTTTCAATTAAAACAAATTTATTGTTAAATTTTCTCCGGCTAGGGAATTAATTTTTCTTCTATTGGTAGCACTCACTCCACGGTGTAATGAATTAAACTTAAAATAATTTTATGACATTTGTAAAATAATTAAGACTTTTGAGAAGAAAATGCAATTGCATTAGTTGAAAATGGATACACAAGATACGCCAGAGCATATTCAAAATGTGGCAGAAGCTGCAATTCAAAATTTATTGGACCAATTGTTATTGGAAAGAATACGATTTGTTGAAGAAATGGGCTTCTGAAAATTTTCTTAAAATTCGATTCATTCTAATTCGACTTTTCGGTCAAAATGTCGTGTGCAGTGAAATGGTGTAGAAATACGACGAGATTTGGGCCCGAAGGAATCAGTTTTCACCGGTTAGTCATTCATCATAGTTTGAGGTTATGTTTAAATCGTTTTTGCAGACTTCCAAAAGGTGATTTGATGGCTGTGTGGAAAGCTGTTTTAGGCTTGAATCTTGGATGAAAAGTGGCAGTGGACAGAATTTGTAACAGAAAGAGAACTATAGAACAGACTTGACATTTCAGTGTCACTCAATGCTACCAATACAAAAACTTTCATTTAAAAACCCTGTTTTTATTTTCTTGCCAAGACACGCAAATGGGTGTTTTCAAAACGATTTGAACGATTGGAAAATCACTAATTTTAGACGGAGGCCGAAAAAGGAAGTCAAATTTGAGATGACGGAAATCATGCATGAAATGTACGGTGAAAACGATGCAAAACCAGTGTCGAACATTTGCGGATCAGGTATTGTGAGTTCTACTCGGGGGCGAAGTCCCCGACAATTTCGAATCAGGTAGTGTGAGTACTATTCGGGGACGAAGCCCACAACAATGTCGACATTTGCGATTCAAATCTACTTGAGGAGCGAAGCCCCCACATTTTTCAAATTAGATAGTACGAGTTCTACACGAGGAGCGAGGGGCTGTCCCAACGACTACTTCCACAAAACATTTGCAAATCCGGGAGGATTTGCCCGATATAGCTAGTATAATATAATATAATCTGACCCTTACCCATTACTGTCTAAATCATTTTCAAGAGCTTCAACTTCTGAAACTTGTAATTGGGTGAGAGCGTCTGTTATAATCTTGGCTTCTTTTTTAAAAGTTTTGCCTAAAACTCCCTTATTGGGAGTTGCCTCAACAACATCGATAACTTTAGGTTCAGTTAATTTTTTTTCCGCTGCTAATCTCACACTTGTAGCTTGAGTGTGTTGGGTTAAATCAAACGCTGATCTATCGGCACAACCCACACACTCTATCCAACCCTAGAAAAAATGACTCCCGAATTGAATACTTTCTTTTTTTCTCCAACTTACATAACTTGTTAAACATTCGGCATCCCAGCAATCTTGGGCGTAATGTGCCATCTCATTGGCCATATGTTGCCTAAATCGCAACCGTTTCTCATCAACGCCACATTTAATCAAAAATTTATGAATGCGTGCTATAAAATACCCCAAAGTCGGGTTTGCTACCAACCCCTAAAACCACTTTTATCGAAAGTTTATCAGTGTTTGGGGCAAACCTTATCAACGGCTGCACCAATTGTTAGTTTTTCGGCCGGTTTTCCATCCATTTGGTTGCAAGCCGAATATAACAACAGTTCAGTGTCTCTGATACTGTCAAATTTTGGATGACTCTTATCAGCTGGGTCACAAAAATGCTCAATTTCGGCCATTGTAAACTCACGGACGCGGATTAGACCAGAACGGGGGGAAATTTCGTTGCGAAAAGCGTTACCTAAATAAAAAAATATACTTGATTTTGTTTTATTTATTTATTTTTTTTTAAACTCACCGATTTGAGCGGCCGCAAAGGGCAAACGCCCTTGGTTGAACTCCAAAAGGCGCTTGAAATTGACGAAAATACCCTGGGCCGTTTCTGGACGCAAAAACCTAACGAAAACAATGAAATCAGTGTTGACATTTTTGCTCAGTGCTGCCAATTAAATTTCAAATGCACGATAAAAATACCATGTGTTCTGTGGTTGCTAAATTAAGTTGGCAACATTGAAAAATGTAGAGTCAATTTTCATATTTTTTGTCTCTATAGTAATAATAATAAATAATGAATACTTCATTTATAATAATGATCTTAATTTATTCTAGTTTAAGTATTTTCACCGTCTCTTTAATTAAATTTGCGGTCAAAGTGGCCTGTGATTTTGAGATTTAGTTGGCAATATTGAAACAAACAGAGACAGAAGATATGAGACTTGACTAGTTTCATATTTTCTGAATCACAGACTACTCTCATGATATCATTTAAAAAAAAAAAATTTTCATCTATTTTGAATGAAAATAAAATAGGAAAACGCCAAATTTTAGATCGTATACTTGATTTATGTCGTTTTTATTGCTTTTAAACATTTTTTTATCTGAGGAGAAATAAAAAATTTGAAATAAAACGAAATAAAGATATAAAAATTATTAAATTTAGTACCAGTACCAATGACTATGTTTTTCAGTGTTTCAGTGTTACCAATTAAATTTTAAAGTAGCAGGCCACTTTGATCAGAAATGCACGATAAAAATACCATGTGCTCAATTAAATTTCTGGCTAGTGGCCACATTAAGTTGGCAACATTGAATAAAGCAGAGTTGATTTTTGTTATTCAAAATTGACAACTCAATCTATTCTATGTTAATTTAAATACTTTCAACGTTTGTAGCTTGTGATTTTGAGATTTAATTGGCAACATTGAGTCATATAGAGACAGGGAATTTTATTTCTCATTTTAGTTATTTTTAGTATCACAGCAGCCTGACTTAGAAATTAAGTTTGCTGAGTAAATTAAGACAATGTAAGAAATTTGTGTTGCAGTGTTGCTATTTGCACCAGATAACAAAATTACGATTTCAATTTTTCAATAGTTTACGTTTTTTTTTTATATAAGGTGCGCCAGAACTCGCGCCCCAGAGAAAAATGCCATGTAAAGTAAGATACCAGGAACATAGAAAAAATGTTAAAAAAAATTCTATCTGTAAAAATTTCGAAGTTATTAGAGTTTAAATTTTGCACTTTGACTCTATTTATTTCTGTTGGAAAAATAATTTTCCAAGTTTTTTTGCTATAGGCCATTAGAAGAGTATACAAAGAAGTTCTATCCTGAATCGTAACTCTGTTTAATGTTTTTTGTAGTTTTTATTAGCAAAATTTTTGTACTTTTACTAAATAATTATAAAAAAAAAATTAAATAGACATGAAAAAATGTCAAATGTCAAAATTCTTTGGCACACAGAATTTTTTAAACATTTTTCCATGTTTCTGGTATTTTATCTTACTTGAAATTTTTCTCTGGGGCGCGAGTTTTGACGCACCTGTATAACAATTTAGTAATTTTTCCAAAATCTCGCAAAAAACGGAGTTTTCATCTAAAAAAAAATGCGTATACTCTCGAAAAAAGCAAAAATGACATTATTTTCGTCATAATTTTGTGATTTTTCGGCTTGCTTTTGACAAAAGGTTGGGAAATAATTGCGTTTCTAGCTGAAATGCTCGAGAAATGCAAAAATAACACAATTTTCGACATAATTTGATTTTTTGGTTTGCTTCAGTGAAATTTCACGAAAAAACTGAAATTTTAGTACAAAAATGTGCTCAGATTTTTCAAAATAAATGAGCGAAACAAGTTAAGAATTATATCAATTTAGATTTAATTTTGTAATTTTTAGCCTGTTTAAACAAAATTTTCCGAGATTATTTTTGAGACAAAAACGTGATAAAACGTGAAAAAGGCAAAAATCACCATTTTTTGGGCAATTTGTTGAATTTTTAGTTTGTTTTTAAAAAAACTAATTGTGTTTCTAGCTAAAAAAAGAAAAAAGTTCCTTCTTAAGCATCCAAAAAAAAAAAACAAAAGTAAATTATCATTTCGACTCTATTTATTAGAATCTTGCAAAAAATAAATAGAACTATTTTAAAGCAATTGGTGATTTTTCGATTTTTTAATGAAAATTTTACGAAATAATCAAGTTTCTGGCTAAAAAACGTGAAAAATACTCTAAAAAATGCAAAAAATAGTGTCATCGTTTTTGACCTAATTTTCTGTAAGTATCAATAATAGAAAAATTTGTGTGTTGGGTTTTCGTTATTTCTAATGAACTATCAAAATATTTGCAAAATGGTACAGAGTGGTTATAAATGATTTTCATCTAGCTTTGGATTTTTTTTGCATGTAACTTTATTTGTGCCGCTCTACTTTTTTGAAAGCTCTAGAGTTCTGTCATTAGTGTCACTTATTAATTAATAATAAATGGTTGTTAATTAAACTTTTATTGTTTCAACTAATTTCCAATAATAATTGATAATGATGTATACTTTGGAAGAAAACAAGTTTTAAATTGAAGTCTATTTTCGAAGTGGACGCTTAGTAAACGGCGATTTTTTAATTTTGAGTTAAAATAAGTAGGTACCCCTATTTTCGTAAAGCGGCATTTTTTATTTTACATGGAAAATTCACAGCTGGCTAGATGAAAATCATTTATAACCACTCTGTACTAACACAACTTTAAAAACTTAAATTTACGAAATTTATGTCAAGTAGCCTCTGAAATGAAGTTGGCAACTTGCTCAATGTTGCCAACTGATCGACTTTTTACCCTTTGATGAGTCCTGAAGGTCCGATTTGCGTCCCAAACATGAGATTAAACTCAATGGGTTCTGTGAGGTCATTTCCGGTAAGAGGGCTCTTCATGTTGTATTTCTGCATGACAGCAGCCATTTCCGCTTTGTTCATTCCATCCAATTTGACAACAATGTCCTGACAATCGGCTTTAACATCATCGGTGGTCCTTTTATCAGCTGAGATTTTCTCCAAATGGGCTTTTATCAAATGATCCAATCGAAAACACTCTCCTGTCCCCACATCTTTGACCATAAGATCAGCAAATCGATCAACATGTCCGGACGCCCTAAAAACACCAAAATAAGTGAGTTTCCTGTCTTAAAGCCCCAATTACGTACTTTAGAACAGGTTCAGGGGTGAGAATCGAGCAATCAACTTCCAACATTTGCTCCTCGAGGATAAAAAACTGTCTCCAAGCTTGCAACAAGTTGGCTTTGAAGGCACACCCCATGGGGCCGAAATCAAACTGGCCGGTGATCCCCCCATAAATCGCAAACGACTGGTCGTAGAAAAACCGTCTCTTCAGCAAATCCTCCATTTTAGCCCTGTCAAAAGTGGCGACTTGGGGGGCCAAACTCAACTCTTTTTCCTCAAGGACCTTTTTCCTGGCATTCAGTTCAGTAACTGCCTTTTTGACGTCCAGAACTGGGGCTCCCTCCGCCTTCAATTTGCGAACTAGATCGCCCTGTTCTTTGACACTGGCCCTTAAGGGGGCCAAAATTTCCTCCATCTGGGGGTCCGCCATCGAGTCGAAATACAACTGCAGTTTCACGTTTCGGTGTTTCTTCTTAATGCCCCACTTTTGTGATGAGACAACTGAGCTGATGCAAACTGTTCGAGTATTGACACAATTTCTAACCAAGAAATTTGACAAGTGATTCAGTTTAATGAAACACAGTGGAATATGCGAAAATTTCATTGACTGGATTGGTAGATATCTGCCACGGGGCAGTTTTTTTAATTACCGCAAAAGTGAAAGGGAAGTGAAACACATGTGTCGGCTAGGGAATTTTCATTTATTTGGTTAGCTATTGGTATTGCACTCGAGCGGGATTTTCAAAATAACCAACAATTTTTATTATTTATTAAATTAATCGTGCTACAGTCACGCAACACATCACCCAGAAGTAAAACGACACATAATTAGCTTCATTTGGGTAACAAATAAAGTTTGTAAACGGCATTAAATTCACCTTATCACCTAGATAAAGCACAGGAGTGTATCGGTAATAAAGTGATAGTACAATTAACAACAAGGCAAAAACCAACTTGACACCATAGGTAAAACCTAATTGTAACACAAAACTGTTTGTTGGTTTTTCCCCTTTTATTTGTTCCAATTCTCTATCAATTACATTGATTCGTCTTTGAAGCTTTGAGTATTTTGCAAACTCGTCCACCATGCTGAGTAATGACTGTTCATTTTTTAATGCAAGCTTTTGTTGCTGTAGCTCCTGTTCTCTCCCCGTCTGCTTACTCAACCACTTAAAAACCTGCAATTGGGGGTAATTAACACGGTTAGCAAACCGGTAATGAATACTTACGGGCTTTTCAACAATTGTTGAATGAACACTCAAAAAACTTACAGTTGTTGAAATTAACAAAACTGGAATATTGAAATAACATTCTTCCGGTGCCATGATTACCTAATGAGAGATCTGTTACATCTTACTTTATTTGTATTTTTTAATTGTTTGTTTGCAAAATAAGAAAAAAACACTTGCAATGAAAAACTGTAGTGTTTTTGGTTCTACATCTAGTGACTTTATTGATTTTTATTGGCAATGCTGGCATTTAAATTTCATCCAATTGGACAGTGTTAGTGCAAATTTGAAACATTTTTCGATTTACACTTATAAAAAACTTGAATTTAAGTTTCTGCTTGAAAAACTGGCCAAATAATATGAATTTTTATTACTGCGTTTTGGTGAAATCAGTACTGCAAACTGGCGGGAAATTTAAATGTGACATTCATCACAGAGCTATTTCGTGGGGTGTTAATTGCAAAAATATAGTAAAATCGTTTTCCTAAGACCTACTAAAAATTTTATGACACATTATAAGGGATTAACGAAACAATGACAAGTTCCTTTGCAAGTGTTGCTGCATCCACTAGAATAAAACAGGGCCGTATTTAAAACTAAAGTAGTGGTATAGAGTTTTACCAAGCTATTATTAAAAAAATAGCTTTATTTAATAATAGTTTGTTAATAACCATCTGGCTTTTTTAAATTTCTTAAAATACTTGACTTTAATAACAACTACATTAAAAACTATTAAAACATTTCAAGTATTTTAGACAAAAAGAAAGTAAGTAATCCGGACCTGTTAAAAATTGACCTGTTTCAGGGTCCGGGTGGGTTCCACTAATTTATGATTTGTTTACCCTCTGGTTTACTCTCAACAATACCGCATTTAACTTAAAAGTAATAAAATCTTTAGTAGGTCTTAGGAAAACGATTTTACTATAAGCTGTTTTGAAGTGAATTTAGTTAAAAAATAATAATCTACTCTTATTGGGTTTTGTCACGGAAACCAGTTCAAACCAATTAAACTGAATAAATAGTGTTTTTCCGTAAAAACAAGGCAATCAATTATAAAATTTGATTTGTTGATTGTTATCTACGGGGTGACCAAAAATGACTGCTGAGTTGGGAGTACTAAAATGAGTGAAATGGTAACTTTGGGATTAAATTTTGAAAGTTGTTGTAAACTGGTCACGAATCAAAACTTCTTTTTCTTCAAATAAAAACACCATAGCGATAAAATTAGATATCGATTGGTGCAATAAATAATAAAAAAATTAAGTTATAAACCAAACATTTTCTCGCAAGTTTAGTCATACTGTTTATTAAAAAAAAGATTTTCCTGTTAAAAAGTTTTTTTTCTAATAAATGTCTGTTATGTCGATTAAAACTAAAAAAAACGAAAACAGAAAAAAAGAGAAAGTGCAAAAACTAAAAGTAAAAACAAGAAAATGAAAACTAAAAAACGCCAAAGAATACAAAGAAAACGAAAACAAAGAAAAAATAATGTCCAAAAACTGAAAATATAATAAAATCAAACGTAAAAATAAAAACAATAAAACAAAAAAGACAAAAATAGATAAAATTGAAATATAAGAAAACACAAAAATGGGAATAAACAAGAATGAAAAAATGTTTATTAAGACATTTTGTTGTGTATGTTTAGTGAAATTTTGCCTATTATTTGAAAATCATCCTGTATACAGGGTGCGCCAGAACACGCGCCCCAGAGAAAAATGCCGTATAAGGTAAGATACCAGGAACATGGAAAAAATTAAAAAAAAATTATATCTATAAAAATTTCGAAGTTATGAGGGTTTAAAGTTTGAATTTTGACTCTATGTTGGAAAAATAATTTTCTAGGTTTTTTTGCTATAGGCTATTAAAAGAGGAAACAAGGAAGATGTATCCTAAATTGTAACTCTGTTTATTGTTATTTGTGGCTTTTATTGGCAAAATTTTTGTCCCTTTACTAAATAATTGTAAAAAAACATATACAACATCATCAGTATCATTAAATAGATATAAAAAAATGTCAAATGTCAAAAAATAAATGTCAAAATTTTTTGACAGATAGAATTTTTTAAACATTTTTTTCATGTTCCTGGTATCTTACCTTACTTGAAAATTTTCTCTGGGGCGCGAGTTCTGGCGCACCCTGTATACTGAATTTTTATAAAACATAAAATTAAGATTTAAAATTAGAAATAATACCTAAATAAATAACTTATACTCAATGTGGATTAACAAAAAATTTGAATGAAGTTTTTTTTTGAAGTCTGTTTCTTTTAAATATTCTTAAGTATAAGCTAATATTGTGCAACCGTTAAGTCATTTAAATGATTTAATAGCCGTTTCCGGGCAATCAACTGTCCTATCCTCAATTTCATTGTTGTTATTGAAAGAAATTGCTTGGCAACAATACAATTCAACCCTAATGTCGAACATTTATAAAATTTGAGACACAGTTTTATCGCACGATTGATCACACAAATAGGACATTAAAATCATTCTAAAGAAAAAGATCAGTAGCTTACAAACGACCAAATCTATACGTAACTTAATTTAGTGTCGAAATTGTTAATAATTTAATGAAAAGTGCGAGTTTGATCGATATCGCAATCCCCAGGTGATAATTTTCACACACCCTGAGTACTCGAGATTAATTAAAACAGTCGCTTTTTGGTGTTGCACACATTTTATGTGCAATTAAACTCTTATCAAACAACCGCAACGCCCACATCTCTCCCTTTTGATAACTTCCAAACAGTTACTTGAGTATAAAATCGTCTTGATTTATTGCAAAGTTAACACAAGTTGCGGTAGAGTAAGTATGAATCATCGTTGCCTTGATGAAACTTTCCTCATTATTTGTGGTAATTATTTCAGTATGTTTCGGCCGAAGAGCGCGACATCCCGTCAGGAGTCCGAGATGGCGTCGAAGAGCCTCCGCGAGTTGCAAGCCCTGGGGGCTGGGAGCGACCCAGTTCACCGTCTGCGACTGTTGTGTTTGTCGAGGGGGGCAAATGGGATTTTGGGGTTGGGCCGCATGTTTCGGAGGATGGACGACGATGGGAGCAAACAGCTGAATCAGGAGGAGTTTGTGAGGGGGCTGCGGGAGACCGGATTGGAGGTAACGGATGAAGAAGCGCTGGAGCTTTTTAAAAAGTTTGACGACGATAACAGCGGGAGCGTTAACATGACCGAGTTTTTAGTGCATCTAAGGGTGAGTTTTTGGAGCAAATCTGAACAAAATCGAGAATAATTCAATAGATTTGGTCATAAATAAATTTCTAGAGAGGGGAAATCAATAGATAACTCGACAATGTTCGTAAATAATATCGCGTCTAGTGTCTAAAAAGTACATTGGACGGAATACGTATCGATTATTATATTGTTTACGTGTAAAAAAACTAAGAAAAATACGTTATAATGTATTTATGATTGCTGTTGAAACCAATCTTCATACTTATTTACTAAATAAAAAAATAAAATTACATGATCAAGAATGCGTATTTGAGTTGGCAACAGAATAAAAACGTTTTATTTTTGACATAACAACAGTTACGATTTGGCAATAATTATTAATTAATTTTTTTAACTAAATTAATTTGAAACCGGAAATTACTCCAGACATTTTAGCTTCTTTCTGAAATTTTACTGTAAAGCTTTAAATAATGGAAAATACTATCAAAGGGCCATTTTCAATGTAGAGTCACCAAACCAAAAAAAATAAATTCCCCAGATCCTGAGCTGAAAAAAATGTTATAATAGTATATTAAAATACAAGTTAGAGATAACTATTTAAATGAGTGTTTTTTTATACTATTTTTTCTATTTTGCCGCTTTATATCATTTTATAAATTAAATAAAAAAAAATAAAAATTTTTTCTAGGGAATTTTGGTGACATTTATGTGGAATAATTTGAGGCGATTGTGAAAAATAAAAATAATTCTTATTTTCACATGTGAAAATGAATGGTGGGGAAAACCCGTCACTAAAATTAAATTAACGCCAACGACTTATTAAAAATAAAATTACATGATCAAAATGCGTGTTTGAGTTGGCAACAGAATAAAAACGTTTTCTTTTTTGGCCGTTTCCAACACTGCTTGTCAACTTGACAGATATCTGACATAACAGCAGTTACGATTTAGTAATAATTATTAATTAATTTTTGTTAACTAAATTAATTTGAAACCGGAAATTACTCCAGTTGTTGCTTGACAAAAAATAAGACATTTTAGCTTCTTTCTGAAATTTTCTGTAAAGCTTTAACGTCAAATTGACAAATTTCAAAACCTCCAAAAACATTAAAATACTATCAAGGGGCCATTTTCAATGTAGTGTCACCAAACAAACAAGAAAATAAATTCTCCAAATCCTGAGCTGAAAAAGTTGCTATAATAGTACAGTGCGATCAAAAAGTCTTTCTATCAAGTAGGACGTATGTTGCATGGCATTTCGTATGTTATCTAGATGTCAAAAAATTATTTTATAAAAATTAAAACATTGAGCTAATTAAATTGAATTATTCTATGAAACGTCTCAAAATATCTTAAAATGAGATTTTGTTGGTGTTTATTCATAAAAATCGTTCACCATGGTTTCCTGTTATAATTTACATAAAAATTATTTTGACATTTCTCATTTGTCATTGTGACATTTTATTTTCCACAGACACACGTTTTAAATTTCTACGGTTGCTTGATAGACAGACTTTTTGATCTCACTGTATATTAAAATACAAGTTGCAGAAGGTAACTATTCAAATGAGTGTTTTATACTATTTTTTCTACTTTGCTGCTTTATATCATTTTACAAATTAAAAGACAAAGATTTTTAAAAAAAATTTCTAGGGAATTTTGCGACGGTTGGTGACATTTATGTGGAATAATTTTAGGCGGCTGTGAAAAATAAAAATAATTCTTATTTTCACATTTGAAAATGAATGGTGAGGAAAGTCCGTCACTAAAATTAAATTAACGCCAACGACTTATTAAAGCACTCAAATGACGTCATTTGGGTGCTTTAATAGACTTATTCCGACACTGAAAAAAAAATTATTTATTTATCTTATTTTCACCAGATTACGAGATTATGATTTAAATGTTTACAATACTGTCGAAGGTTTACGTTTTTTACATAAATCTCGCAAAAAATGCACTTTTCTGTTCAAAAACCTGCTTAAATGTTCGAGAAATGCCATTTGTGGTCTACATAATTCTATAATTTTGGGCTCGTTTAAAAAAATTAACAAAATATTTGCGTTTTTACCTGGAAAACATGATACCTACAGCGTGGTTATAAATGATTTTCATCTAGCCAGCTGTGAATTTTCCATGTAAAATAAAAAATGCCGCTTTACGCAAATAAGGGTACCTACTTGTTTCAACTCAAAATTAAAAAATCGCCGTTTTCTAAGCGTCCACTTCAATTATAAACTTGTTTTCTTCCAAAGTATACATTATTATCAATTAATATTGGAAATTAGTTGAAACAATAAAAATTTAATTAACAACAATTTATTATTAATTAATAAGTGACACTAATGACAGAACTAGAGCTTTCAAAAAAGTAGAGCGGCACAAATAAAGTTACATGCAAAAAAATTCCAAAGCTGGCTAGATGAAAATCATTTATAACCACTCTGTATAATATTTTAAAAGCGTGAAAATAACTTGATCTGTTTTGTTTTTAGTTTGTTAGTTCAAAAACATGTTTAAAGACTTCAAAATGGAAAAGTAACGGCATTATTGACCAAATTTTGTGCATTTTCTGCTTATCTTTTGACAAAATTTCGAACTAAATCAGTGAAGAAATTAGATTTATTTTTGTAATTATTTGACAAGATCTTGTAAAGTAGTAGTCTCTAGTTCAAAAACAGACTAATTTGGACGAAACAAGCTAAAATAATATCGATTTCAATCGGATTTGTTAATTTTTCACTCAAGAAAATTTTCTACTTTTAAAAATACAAATAATGTAACATTGATTTTGACCTAATTTCGTAAACTTCCGGATTGTTTTTAACGAAACTTTGCAAAATAGTTGTTTTTGTCTAAAAAACGTACGAAAATGCTTCGAATAATGCACTTTTCAATCCAGTTTAGGGATTTTTTAACTGTGTTGAGTGAAATCTCGTAAAAACAAATAATAGTATATTACATAACGAGCATGGAAAGTGATAATAAAAAACGCACAAGCGGGAAAGTTGCGCACGAGGTGTTAGCCGAGTGCAGGCAATACCGCGAGTGCGTTAGACACTTTCCTGCAAGTTTTGTACACTATTTTTCCTACGACCATAAATAATTTTCTTCTTACGAACATATTTTTTTTTCATAACAATTTATTTTTTATAATGGATTCAAAAATACGTTGAATAACGATTTATTTTTTATAATGGATATAAAAAAATACAAAACATTCGAGTGTGAATTGTGCGTTAGATTTCTAACACACAGTGCGAACTGTTTTGGTGATTTTTAGTTTTCACCACGAATCACCTGACCTGGCAGCACTGATTTATTAATTTGAAAATAAAATCAGTATTGCCAACTCACTTCTTGATCAAAATAAAAGAAAATAAAAAAGGGAAATGTAAAAAAACATGATTTTATAAGTAACAACAGCATAAAAAGTTTAAATTGCTTGAAATTACCACACTTTACCGTAAACAGACGGACTTGTTGCTTGTGGGTGTCCAATTCTTGAATATTTTATTGCAGCCCCCGATGTCCGAGTCACGCAAGAAAGTCGTTGAAGAAGCGTTCAAGAAAATGGACAAAACTGGAGACGGCGTAATAACAATAGACGATTTAAAAAACGTCTACAACGTCAAAGCCCACCCTAGATACATAGCAGGAGAGGAAACTGAGGAAACTATTTTAAAAAGATTTCTAGCAAATTTTGAACAAGACGCCACCAAAGACGGCCAGGTTGCCAATTAAACAAAAATAAAACCAAACTAATTGTTTTTTAGGTAACCCACGAAGAATTTTTCAATTACTATTCGGCCATAAGTGCGTCGATCGACAACGACGGCTATTTCGACTTAATGATGAGACAAGCCTACAAACTGTAATTTTGCAATCTTAAAATTCACTGTTTGATTCACTTTCTCTAATATTCCTATCCTAATCTAGATTTAAATACGTGTATTTCGACTATCATCTATTTTATTAAGAAAACACGCAATAAAATAAATGTTATTGTTTATTCTTCAAAAATACTGATTGTTTTACAAATTTCTTCTTGCACAACCCCATAATGCACTTCTAGTTGGCAACAGTTAAGTCCTGCCAACTTAAATTTAGTGGTCGCATGGCACGCTAGATCAAGATTTATAAAGTAAGAAGGTTGCCTCGTAACTTTGCACCAATCACGTGTGCGCATTATTCGCGCGACTTGACGTCACTGGAGGTTTCGTTCAAAAATATGATATGTAACCAAACGTATTATTAAATTAAAAAACTAGAGCTCCGTAAAATAAATACTGATAAAATATTTTTTAGTAAGGGTTAGATACAGGGTGCGCCAGAACTCGCGCCCCAGAGGAAATTTTTAAGTAAGATAAGTTACCAGGAACATGAAAAAAATGTTAAAAAAATTCTATCTGTCAAAAATTTTTGACATTTGATATTTTTTATATCTATTTAAGGATACTGATGATCTTGTATATGTTTTTTTTACAATTATTTAGTAAAGGGACAAAAATTTTGTCAATAAAAGCCACAAATAACATTAAACGGAGTTACAATTTAGGATACAGCTTCCTTGTTTCCTATTTTAATAGCCTATAACAAAAAAACTTGGAAATTTATTTTTCCAACAGAAATAAATAGAGTCAAAGTGCAAACTTTAAACCCTCATAACTTCTAAATTTTTATAGATACAATTTTTTTTAACATTTTTCCATGTTCCTGGTATCTTACGTTATATGGAATTTTTCTCTGGGGCGCGAGTTCTGGCGCACCCTGTATACATTGATAAAAAAATATAAATTTATTTTGCTAAAACTTGCAATATTTTAATTTATAGTTTTATTCATTTTTTCTTTGTTAGTTTATCGAAATTTTCTCGATAACTGTTTATCGCAGAACACTGATCTTTTTTGTATATGATAGAAAATTAAATTTTCTTTCCTATCATAAGCGGTTATCACCAAAAAGTCCGGAGTTACTATAAATAGACCGCTCCGGGTGCCAAAAATCGACCAAAATCTCGCCAAAAATAATACTCTGCGATGCATAGTTTTTGCGATATTGAGTAATTAAGCTAAAAATCAGCTAGAAGCATACAAGATCTATAAAGGAAGATGTGGTAAATAGTGCAAGATGCAACACAATAATAATAACAACACAAATCTGAAATCTGACATACAATTCAGACAATTCAAAATCAAAATTGACTACAAAAAGAAGACTTTAACTTGAAAAAAACTTTGTTTTCACAGCAAATGAAAATCTCAAAAAATTGCACAATTGTGTGTTGGTCCTTAAATCGAGAAAAATCAGGACATCTACAAAAATCAGGCATCCTTCTTACTTTATAAATCTTGGCGCTAGATGAGATTCAAAAACTTATTTCGGGATTTTCGTGTTGCAATTTCCGTGTAAAATGACAGTGGGGTGTTGACACTTGAAATAAAAGTCGAAAACGTCGCGATAGCCGTGCTCGCGCCACCAGACGCACAACTGGCGATTAAAACCGCAATTAATCGTTTGAATCAAATCGGGATATTCAAATCCCATCAAAGTGTAAAAATCCTGGTCACCCAAATGACCCCTAAATTTATATTTGGAAGTGAGATATTGCACAGTTTCGTTTCGAATTATCTTGGAGTATTCCTTAGATTTTCGTATTGCATCTAAATTAATTAAAACTACGCCGGAATTGTAGCCTTGGAAGCCCCGAGGATGTTGCATATTGCGCGATATCGCCGTGGAATGGTAATATTCGCCGAATGTTGAGTTTTTTTTCACTTTGTAGGACTGGAGGACGTGGCGGTAGACTGGAGTCAATTCGGGGGCCAAACCGTACAGAGCACTCGGCTTAAATCTACAAAACGGAATAAAATACAAATAAAAACACACCTAATTAATTACTTGTCAAACTCTTCAAACACTAAGCGAATATCCTTCTTAAAGTACAAATCACAGTCTAGGAGAAGAGCAGTCTGCTGCGAAGGTGGGGCTATTCGATACAGCCCCAAAGAAATATAAAAAAGTGCGTCACTGTAGTAAGTACCTGAAAAAAAAACACAGTAATTAGACACTTACAAATTTGGTTTCTTACCCGGTTTTGAACTAAAATGAGGGGTCATAACGTCAACAATATCACTAATGGCTTTTGCACACATTTCAATATCATAAAATTTATAAAATATCGCTCTATTCGAATGAGACACAACATCTGATATTTCACCTACTGCTAAATGCTTGGAGCTATTATCAACAATAATATGGAATTTTAAAGGAACAGAACTGATGTTTAAAATATTCTCTAACAAGTTGTGGAATTTATATCGTAACGGGGACCTTTGAGAGACTTTAGTAAATATTAGCCAAACATTATATTCTTTGGGCTTTTTGGGTGGTAATAAAAATGTTACATCGTTAGTTGCATCACTGGAATTGTGACTAAAAAACGTAAAATAGACAACCAATAAAGCGCTACACAAAATTCCAAGTTTTAGTAAAAGGCGCAGTTTGGGTTGTTTGGGGCTACACATCGTGTTTGCACAAGCTAATTACTTCTTTGCCACATTTTTTTTGCTACATTTCGGTTTTTCTTTCACAACACAAAACACAAACAACAGTCAACATAACCTCTCTTTTCGCAGACACAGCACTCTTGGTGGCTTCATTACGAATTTCATTAATTATGAATTTATCCACAAAAAGCAGCTAATTTGAAGCTTTACAATTTAAAATTGAGACGGATTTTTATGTAAATATTTCCAAATTTTGTATTTTTGTTAGAGGTCATAGAAACTAAGAAGGATATCGGCAGACACGAAACAAGAGATGGGCAAAAAATATCGATGTTTTTCAAACATCGAATATTGGTCAAATACATCGATGTAAAAACATCCATTTAAAAATGTGTAAAAGTATTTTTTTAAATATCGATGTTTTTACTTCGATACATCGAAATTGGTTCAGTTAATTATTTTTAATTATCTTTAATTTTTTTTAAGTTTAAAATTTCATTTATAAAATTTAAATCGATGTATAGAGAATTCGATGTTTTTTAACAAAATTAACGAGGTTGAAGTGATGTAGGTGGTTAAGTTTTGTCTTTGTAGTTTGTATTTGTTTATGTTTTATGCAAGAATTGTAAGAAATATGTTTGTATTTTTTTATGTTCCATTAAAAAAATCGGTAAATGATTTTTTTTTTTTAATAAAAAACGTCGATTTTTTTAAGTATCGATGTTTTGGGGCGATATATATTACATCGATGATTTCTTATTCGATCATCGATATCACAGAACATCAATATATTTTTCGATGTTCCCATCTCTAAAAAACTGGTCGCGGACGAATCCATTCGTAAATATAGGGGAGTTTTGAAATCAGCTGAGAGCAGTGGCGTGTATTACCTATTAAAATTAATTATGATACAAATATTGATTATATTTTTAATAAACGAATCTATTCGTTACTTTTTGTTTGTTTTTTATTTATACAGAAATTAATATCACCGTGGAGCATCGTATGAAATTAATATAATCGTGGAGCATCGTATGAATTTTTTATATTTAATATCTCAGTCAATGAAAATACGAAAAAAAATGCAACTTTACAAGTTCCCCTACTACACCGAGTACGCATTGGCTCCGCCTATCGATATCCTTCTTGGTTTCTATGAGGTCTACTTGTAAAAATAATATTAGTTGAGACGCCACTGATGTTGTCAATTGTCAAATAAATGTTAGCAAATTTATTCAAAAGTCTGACGGAGCATATCCAAACTACTCCAAATTGTGAGTTTGAGGTATTCAAAAAATATTATTACGGACAAGTGTGTACAAGTGACGGGTTTTATTAATTTCAAATTGTTTGTCATTGAAAAAACTACCGTGCCGCCACTGGTGTTTTCTGTCAATTGTCAAATAAATGTCAACTGTCAAATGTCCAAAATTTTCCTAAAAATCGTTCTAATCGACGAAATTTGGTGAAAGAGTGTTTTTCGGGCATCCCTAAAGTGAGTTTGTGTGTTTCGGGGCGCCATGAAGTGAGGAGGCTGCTTGCCGGTAAGCCAACAGTCTCATATGCCGGCAACGTCAAACGTAAATATGGTAGCGTCAAGTGCTTCGCAATTTTTCCTCCACACCTCGCGAACTCTGTGTGAAAATGTCTAAACAGGTCAAACGCAAAATAACCGTGAACCTAACTCCGAAAAGCAAAGAAGTCTCGAAGCCTCGACCCAGCGTGTTCGAGCGACTCGGCACCAAAGCCAGTGCAAGTCAAGACTTTTGTCACCATTGGGCCCAAAGCGGCACCTGTCCCTACGGAAAAGGCTGCAAATACTCGTCGACGCACACTCTAATCAGCCCCTCGAAGCGGGCGGCCAAGACCCAGCGCAAGGACAATGCCCACAAGCGGGTCCATCCCGGAAACCCAGACGAGGATTGGGAGCAGTGGGACCCGGAGGAATTAGCCGACGCCGACCCTGATGATCTAGAAAAACGCAGACAGGAACTGCAAAGAGAACTCGAACTCCAAATGAAAATGGAAAACAAAGCGCGCAAAAAGGACAAAAAGACGAAAAAGGAGAGCAGTCCCTCGACGGAGAGCTCCTCATCGTCCTCGGACTCGACCTCGTCCAGCGACGACTCCACCTCCAGCAGCTCGTCGTCCATTGAAACCCGCAGGAAGAAGAATAAGAAAACCAAAACTAAACGCGACTCCTCGTCATCCTCCTCGGAACGCCCCCCGAAAAAGAAACCAAAAACTAAAAGAACCTCCTCGAAATCGTCACAACGTGCCGAAAAAAACAAAAAAACAACAAAAACGTCCAAAGTCAAGTCTCCAACGCCACAACGGAGCAGAAAACAATCACAAACACCACCACCGAAAATCAAACCGGGGGTTCCCCCAGCAAAGTCCCCGAGACCCACGAGTCGCTCGAGTGACCGTAAGGAAAAACACCACACACCGTCCCCAAAACCCAAAGAGAAAGACAAAGAAAAGGAACGCGAGAAGGAGAAAGAACGTGAGAGGGAAAAGGAGAGAGAGCGTGAGCGGGAAAAGGAACGCGAAAAGGAGAAGGAAAAGAATAAGAAAGATAGGGAGAAAGACGACCACAAAAAGAAAGAATCAAGATCACCGAAAAGAGACAACAGATCAACAAAAAAAAGGGACACTCCCGATTCATCCCATTCAAGGGATAAGAAAAGTTCACCAAGTCGCTCAAAGGGCAGCACCAGTCGAAGGGACCACAAGGGTACGCCACCAAAAGACGAACGAAATCGTGATAAAAAAGACGATAAGGATAGGTAATAACAATCTTGATTCTCTCAACCAGTGTTATTCAGGGGCGGACTGGCCAGGGGTGCCCCAGGCCCCCAATTATCGTAGGCTTATTATGTCAAGAGCTCATTGAAATGATATCAATAATTCTAAATTTGTAAATAAACTTTCCACAATCCATGAAGTGCTGAACTACGTTTTTTTAGTTTGAAGGAATTAAAAAAATGCCATCATAACAAATAAAACTATAATGTCTATAATTTCGATTATTTTAGCTCAATTTTGTTTATAAGGTCTTACACGCATGTAAGAAAAATTCCGCGGGGATTTATACAAGTGATTCAAAAATTTGTGTGATAATTTTAATCACCAATACTCCTCTACAAATGAGCGTAGATAGCACAGCATTTATTAATCCAACTCATCAAGCAATAGAAAAATTACAGTTTTTATACTCATCAAGAAATAAACAAATGTTCCTTTGGATTTAGTGAAATTTACATTAAATATGAGAGCAAGGTACGCTCAAAATTTATAAATTCTGATTTTGTAGCGCGTTTTAGAATTTAGTTTAAACTCAAATAACTCGAAAACGGTACATTTTGGCGATATGAAACTACCTTTTTTTATTTTAAATGTTTGGGCTGTCTCAAAAACAGAAATTAATAAGCCGAAAAAAAGTTATGATCCCAAAACTGGGAGGACCCATTACTACCGGAAATGTTTAGCTTCCACAAGACTTCCGTTTACACCAAATCAAAGAGTGTCTTTTTGTCCTTTAACATGCAAAATTTAATAATAATCGGATAAACGGTAACAAAAATATTTCCAGAAAATCATCGACTTTTGGAAAGTTGTAATTTTTCTATTTTTTGAGGTAGGTCAATACTATTCTCAATTGTAGAGGGGTATTTGTAATTAAAATTATGCCACACAATTTTTAATCAACCGATATAAAATATCGTTTTTACTTAATTTAATGTTATTTTAATTTATTTTTTTAAATTATTAGTGGGCATCAAGGGCGGATTCAGGGGAGGGGCCCAGGGGGCCAGGGCCCCCCCAAATTTGCCACCGAAAGCTTCAATTTTTTATATTTAAATTTTAATATGAAAACCTTATGACCTAAAGTTTTTTAAATATAAACATTAGATTTTTTTTTAATCACACTTATTAATACAAATCATACATACATACAGGGTGAATATAAAGTATGGAACCAAGCGGTTTTATTTTTAATCATTTGCCTCCAGAAAATAATAATTAATATAAATTAAAGTACTATAAAAAATCTGATCGTATTTTTAAAACAAAATTTTGTTTTCTTTTTGAGTTATGCGATATTTTTTGTCAAAATTGCAATTTATGTGAAAAAAATTTTTTTGAAAAAATTAAATATAAAGCAGATAGTTGTAATCCTTAGAGTATAGCTTTTATGAGAAAAATGATTTTATAGTGGGTTGCCATTTAAAAAAATATTTTTTTGTAGAACTCAAAAACAAAAGGAAATTTCAAAAAAAATTATTCTTGTTAAATCATCACATTTTTATAATACTTTAGCACTCATCAATTAGTTTTTTCAAAAAATAAATAGTTTAAGCAAAAAACGTTTGGTTCCATACTTTTTATTCACCTGGTATGTATACCGAGAAGATCAAGATAATTTGTAATTGAGTAATTTTTGGATCCAAAAACGTACGTATGACTGTTCTTTTTTGGAGGTAAATCATAAATTTAATACATCTGTTTGAATAATAAACTTTATCAACTCCTAATACAGTGAGCGGAAAAATTATGGAATAATTTTATTAAAACTGCGAATATTTTGTTTTGTCAAAAATGCTCAGGTTTTCTTTTTAAAAAATACACAATTTTCAACTTGATTAAAAAAAAATACACTTTTTGAGTTTTGAGTAATGACGACAGCCACATTTTTTTAAAATAAAAACCTAGCGAATTCGATAGATTTTTTAATTGTCAAAACGGAAACACCAAAATATATTATGTATTACATAGTTTTTCAAAAAAAATATAAAAGTGAAATTATATCAATAAAAAACAAAGATACAATTTTAAAACAAGTTGAAAATTTTGTATATTTTACAATTTAGATAGCCCCCGACCCCCAAATTAATTCCTGGATCCGCCCCTGGTGGGCATAAATAATATAAAAATCTAAATATAAGTATAAATTTGGTGCACAGAAACGAAAAACTTTATTTTTGTTTATTAAACCATGATTTCAACTGACGTCACAATCTCAATAGAGGAAACAAATTTCTTCAAAAAAATTACTACATTAAGTGACAAGTAGTTTTTATACATACCAGGTGAATCAAAAGTATGGAACCAAGCGTTTTTTTCGTAAACTAAGTACTTTACGAAAAAAAAAAAATTAGTGTAGTGTAAAGTACAATTAATCAAGAATAACATTTTTCGAAATTTCTTTTAGTTTTCGAGTTCTGGAAATTTTTTATTTTTTTTTAATGGCAACCTACTATGGTAATTTTAAAGATTATGAGCTAAAAATGACTTCTAATTAAACAGAATTGTTTTTTAGTCAGTACTTTTTTTTAATAAATTGTTAAAGTTGCGTTCCTAGCCCACACGAAGATTTGTAAGTTTAACAATTAATTAAAAAAAAAGTAAAGGCTAAAAAACAATTTTATTTAATTAGAGTTCATTTTTAGATCATAATCTTTCATTAAAAAAATTACCATGGTGGGTTGCTATTTAAAAAAAAAAATTTTTTTCACAACTCGAAAACTAAAAGAAATTTCGAAAAAAGTTATTCTTGATAAATGGTCACACTTTAATTGTACTTTACGCTACACCAATAATTTTTTTCGTAAGGTGCTTAGTTTACGAAAAAAAACCGCTTGGTTCCATACTTTTTATTCACCTGGTATTTTTATTGTATTGTATATTGGGCCCTCATTTCAACTTAGCATTCCATATAAAAATTTGCCAGTCCGTCCCTGGTGTAATTTCTTCGTTTTTGGTTTCAGATCTCGCACCAAGGATGATAAATCACGCAAATCGCGCGATCGTGAACGAGAACGTGAACGTGAGCGTGAACGTCGTCTTGCACGTGAAGAACGTGAAGCTGCACGTGAGAAAGAACGTGAAGAGGCATTGGCTCGTTGTCAGGAGCGTCAGCGTGAACGTGAACGTCTCAAAGAACTCGCAAAGAAAGAGGAGGAGAGAAGAGGTCGTGAACGTAGTCGACGTGAAGATCGAGGACTTGATAAACCATCAAGTGATAGAGTTGAAAGATTATTACCATTGCCTGAAGATCGTGTACCACCGAGTCGGAAACATTCGAGTGATCGACGTGAACGTGACAGAAGAGAACGAACACCGGAACGAAGAAAATCCCCAGAGAGGAGAGACGAAAGAGGTTATGATAGATCAAACGATCGGAATTATGATAGGGAGTCGAGGGATCGGGATTATGGAACGATTCCGGCAAGGTTGAGGGATACAGAAAGAAGGATCGAGGATAAGGAATATGACAGTCCGTATGATAGAGCGAGACATGATGATCGCAGATATCTCGATATTGATTATAATGAGAATTCAAGAGAGGATAGATTAGCAGAATATCCTGATGATCGACGATCAAGACGAGATTTATGGGATTCACGAGATGACAGAGATCTAGATTTGGAACAACACAGGAGATATAGAGAGGATTCAAGACCACCAGGATCACTGAAAGGAAGGGAATGGGAAACGGATTATCCAGATCATGATTGGGATCGTGCAAGACGTCCCATTGATTGGGAAGGAAGAGAAAATTGGGATGCTTCAGATCATAAACATTTAACAGAGGAAGATTGGAGGTTGTATAATTGGGCTGGGGAGGATAGGAGACGATGGCCGGCTGATTGGAGGGAGAGGTCACGACCTAGAAGTTCAACGTCTCATAGAGATGGTAAGAGAAGAAATTTTTCTTCCTTTTAACTCACCTTAATTTATATTTTTGAGCAGTTTTGCTCATTAATGGTAATATTTTTAATAATACAGACATTATTCTTGTAGAGCTTACCACATTTTTTTATTTACAATCAATGAAATTAAAATTATTATGAAAACTATACAATTTATTAATTAGTTTGAAATACCTACATTTTTATAATACTTATTTTAACTTAAAAAAATTGAATTGTTTTTTGGGAATATACACATAATGGATAATGATTATTATAAATACAAAGAGGAAAAAAAAGCAATTTCTGATGTGTTCAACCGATTTGGCTCAATTTTAAGTTGGGAATCAACCTAAATCAAAGTATTTCAACCAAATACTGACTTCAATAAGAGTTTTCTTCCAAAATAAACCAATTTGCGCTATTTTCAATCAAATTTTGCTCGATTTTAATACAGAATTAATTCAAAACTAAT